TCCTGGAACAATACTGCTTGTATTCCTGTCATAGAACAGATTTTGTAATCTTTAAAAGAAATGAAAATTTATATAATAAAGTTTCAAATAAAAGCATGTATGTCCCTTTTATCAGATATTTTGATTATATAATTAATCTTTTATAATATCAAATTATTCCATACAAAGTAATTTATGAAATTAGATTAATAGAATTTAAAATGGGAATGTTTCTGAGTTAAAAAGTGCAAAATATTTTTTTATGCATAGTCTTGGTTCACTTGAAGAGTTTGTCAAGTCAGACTCATATAAATTACTTTACCCAAGTCAGACTCACATAAATCACCTTACCTAATACCAAACTTGATTAATGAATCAAAGGATACAGGATGACCAGGCACAGATGAAATATTCTTAGAGAAGTCCAAAACTACCAGACTCGGCTCCAAAACTGCCCTTTTCCCCCCTCATTACAGTGTGGCTTCAGAATTAAAGGACAAGTTTCCTTCTGAGCACTGTATGTGGGGGCTTTGTTCAAAAAAAATGAGTTATTTGGTTTTGCAACATCTTACACTTCATTATTACACAATTTAACAGATGAGCCTTCATTCTCCAGCCAGCCATGCCTCATAAATCCACAAATTTCAGATTTTACAATAAACCATCTATAAAAACCAAGTGTATCTTGCTAAACACGTTTGAGTGATAAGGACTTTTCATTTTCTTTCTACTAATAAATATCATTGGCACGTTTGAGCGGAAATTTGATCGAGGTCATTGATTCCTGGCAGAGAGGAATAGGTTATTTAGGACTCAAGTTAGCCCTTTTTTTTCCACAGTTTTTTATATTAGTTTTATATTATGAAATACTACAGAATGGGTGACTTAACAAACAGAAATTTCTCACAGTTTGTAGGCTGAAAGTCCAAGATCAAGGTGCCTGCAGGGTTGGGTTCTGAGACCTCTCTAGCTTATAGTTGACTTCCCTCTTGCTGCTGCTTTACATGGTTGGTCCTTTGTGCATGTGCATGCCTGTTCCTCTTTTTGTGAAACATTGCATTAGAGCCCCATGCTAACGACTTTAATTCAGTCATTTCTTTGAAGACTTTATCTCCAAATACTGTTACATTCTGAGGTAACTAGGGGTTGGGACTTCAACACTTGGATTTGGAGAGGACACAATTCAACCCATACCAGCTAGTTTAGGGGATATCTATTTGGATTAATTTGGGATTTTAAGATAAGATGGTGAGCTTCAAAGTCTATTTGGCATTATACTGAGGCAATGTAAGTATGCTAACTGAATTTGTTTTCTACCATTTTTTGGTAACAAATTACCACAATTGAGTACATTAAAACAACATAAATGTATTATCTTACGTCTTACAGTTCTGGAAATTAGAAGTCAAATATAGGTCTCACTGGTCTAAAATCAAGGTGTCAGCAGGGCTGCATTCCTTTCCCGAAGTTTTAGGGGACAATTATTTCCTTTTCCGGTTTCTAAAGGCCACCTCCATCCCTTGACTTAGCTCCTTCATCCTCAAAACCAGCAACAGTGGGTCTTCTTTGCATGCATATCTCTCTGACCCTGTCTTCTGCATCTTCCACTTTTAAAAACTCCTGTCATTAGATTTGGCTCATCCAGGTAATCTAGGATAATCTCCCCCAAGGTCAACTGATTAGCAACATTAATTGCATCTGCAACCTTAACATCCTTTTGCCACATGAAAGAACACATTCAGTTTGCAAGGAATTCAGAAATGGACATCTTTTGGGTTCATTAGTCTGCCTACTCTGATTATCTAGAGAAACACCTGGCTTTTCAGGCAGGCAGACACAGAGTAGCAGTGTTTGACATGATTGTGTCTTTTCAGCTTTGTATTAATGCACCTTGAATTGATAGAATTGACACACACCAGAAAAGCTAGGTAAAGGAAGTGCAAGGATGCTGCAGGGATTGGGCAGACCGTCTAAGGAAACACTGATTAAGCTGAGACCTAAAAGGAAGGGGGAAGGGTGGAGTAGAATGTACAGAGATTCAGACAGTGAGAGGCACTCTAAATGTTCTGGATGACTGGAGCTTAAAACGAGACAAAAGAAGCCACAAGACTCAAGAGATAAGCAAGTCATACCATCAAAGGCATAATAAATCATATTAAGGAATTTGAATTTTATCCCTTCGGATTCCACCCCCCCCCATCCTCAGTCTTTATTTCCTTTGCTTCCCAGACTAAAACTCATGGCTCCATGGGTGATCATCTAAACTTCTCTCTCAAAAACACCTCAAACTTGCCTTTATTCTGCACTGACTGAGCAGAAAAAATTCCAATCCCGGATCATTCTGATCATTTTGGTTAATTCTGTACATGTTCTGGATATGTTGAAAGAAACCGTAATTATGCAAATATTTTCTAATCTCAACTAAGCCCTCAGTACCATTTGTCAATTCTTTTTCCTTGTTGGTCAGATCCATTCTCCCACTTCTTCTTTAAAAAAGCTTTATTGAGATATAATTCATGTGCCATAGTCCACGCATTTAAAGTATACAATTTAATTTTTTTAATATAGTAGTTACAGAGTTGCACAACCATTATCATAAACTAATTTTATGTATGTATGTATTTATTTATTTAGAGTCAGAGTCTCACTCTGTTGCCCTGGCTGGAGTGCAGTAGCATGATTACAGCTATCACAGCCTCTATCTTCTGGGCTCAGGCAGTCCTTTCATCTCAGCCTTCCAAGTAGCTGACACTACAGGCATGTGCAACCACACCTGGCTAATTTTTTGTTTGTTGTATAGACATGGTCTCACCATTTGCCCGAGCTGATCTTGAGGCAATCCTCTTGCCTCGACCTCCCAAAGTGCTGGGATTACAGGTGTAAACCACGGCACCTGGTTCATACACTAATTTTATAACATGTTCACCATTCCAAAAGGAAACCTTGAACCCTAGTCCAGGCCACCATTGTCTTTTGCTTGTACTGTTAAAGTAGTCTCCTGAGTGGTCTCTATTTCCAGCCTTGCCCCCCACAGTGTGTTCTTAACATAGAAGCCAAAATGATTGCTTAAACCCTACTAAAAATTATAACAAGTGGCCTGGTCTTCTTACCTTTCCAATCTCATCTCTCCAAACTTTTCCCCTAGCTCAGCGCATTCTAGCCACATTGACCTTCTACCTTCTTCCAAATGATTCTGATGATCAGTCAGATGTAGGAACCATCCTATAGTAGAAAAATGAAGCCTGATTTTTTTTTCTCCTATGAGGTTTCATACTGGGTAATTGATAGAGACTTTTGATTATTAAACATTTGAATTTACAGACAGAGTCTAACTGATTACTTATCATATACTAGGCACAATTGCTAAACACTGAATGCATTATATCAATTTAATTCCTACAACAACCTAATGTGGCAAGTACTATTCAAACACCCAGTTACAGATGAGAAAATAGACATAAAGAGATTAAGTAACTTATCCAAGATCATAGATTAATTAGTAGCTGCGGAACCTGGATTTGAACCCAGGTCTCTCTAACTCCAAAGCCCAAGTTCTTATTTTGGCCTTGATGAAAATTTTAAATAAGTTTCATAAAAACATTCTTTCATCCTTATTTGTGTAATTTGCAAAATAGTATTACAAATGGAAAGAGAAACCCAGAGCTTAAGTCCTCATCATCTTTCACTTTCCCTCTAAGAAGTTCTTTCTGTTGTTGACTTTCTCAATTTCAGCTCTGCTGAAAGTTTTGGACAGGATAATTCTTTGCTTGGTGGGAGTGGGGGAGGGGTAGAAGGGGATTGTACTATGTACTATGTAGGATGTTTAGTAGCATCCTGGACCTCTGCCCACTAGATGCAGCATCACTGACCTCCTCCCTGAATTGTGACAGCCAGAAGTGTCTCCAAATGTTCCCAGTAGGGAAATACTGTGTTAAATTATATTTTCTCTGTCTACTAAGTATGTTCATTTCCCTAGAGAGATGATGGTAAAACCCTGATGTATGCAGAAAGGTGAATTATTTAAAATAAATATCCTTAAAAATAAAGCTATTTGCCCAACATAGGCATCTTTATTTGTCTGCTAGAACTGCCATAACAATGTACCACAGACGGATTTAAACAACAATTTATTTTCTCGTAGTTCTGGAGGCTAGAAACTTGAGATCAAGGTGTCAGCATGGCTGGTTTCTTCTGAGGGCTCTCCTTGGCTTGTAGATGGCCACCTTTTTGTTCACGTGGCGTTCCCTATGTCTGTGACCTAATAATATCTTCTTTTAAGGACATCAATCATACTTGATTAGGTCCCACCCTTAATGACCTTATTTCAATTTAATCATCTCTTTAAAGACCCTGTTTCCAAATACAGTCAAACTCTGAGGTACTGGGGTTAGAACTTCAATATATGAATGGGGGAGGGGGAGAGGGGCGGGCACAATTCAGCCTATTAACACTAAGGTTGTCTTCTCGCCGCCTCCCTCCCTTCCTGTGTGTACTGAGCACCTGCTATAAGCTTGCCATTCTGCCATGTGCAGGTAATGGTAAGCGACACACATAGTCTGCCCGGTAAGGTTTATAGTGAGGTAGGGGAGACAGATATTTAAAGAGTAATAACAAGTGTCATGCAAATATTACGATTTGGTCATGGATGACAAGAAGGCCTTGGCCTTCCTCTCAGGCTCCCAACGAGCCTGGGCCAGTGAAGGGGCCACGTTAAAACTAAGTATGAGGTTAATGAGTCAGCAACTTGTGTAAATAGGAGACGCGGGCTTGTCACAAAGCAGCAGAGGCCTGGCAGAGGCCTGGCGTTAGCCAGCAGCAGGCGCTGTCTCAATCCGCCCTTTACTTTGACGCAGGGGCCAGCCCGTCCCCTCCCTGACTCCGCCTCCTCCCAGCTCGCGGTCTCGCCCTCGAGAGCTCTCCGATTTGCCGCGCACTCTCCCAGAACGCGATTACCTCTGCTCTTAACAATAGAGACCAGCCGTACGCGCCTGCGCCGTAGAGCCTATGGGCGGGCTCAGGCAGCGGCGGGAGGCGGGGAAAAGCGACGCAAACAGTCGCGACGCCATTTGCTCCTGCCGAACGTGGACTCAGCCGGGTCTCGGAAGAGCTCGGTAGGAAGACTCTCCGGTACACGCTACCCGACCGCCAGCACCTACTTCTCGCGCTCTCCCTCCTGTCACCCCGCGGAGGAGTCGCCGCCGCCGCTGCTGCAGCCACCCAAAAAGAAGTCAGGGACACCGTGGGCCCATCGTCACAGCCATGCCCAAGAATAAAGGTAATGCCTCCAGGACCCCGGGACCACGGCTGTGTTTGGCCCGATCTCCCTGGCCCTACCTGCGGCCTCCTAGTCGCCCAGGCCGTAGTTGATCAGTTTTTCCTTCTCGCCCTGCCAGTCCTTGCCTGGGCGTCCCGCACACGATTCTGAGCTCGGAAGAGGAGCTGGGAAGTTAACTCCTGTTGCCCAGTTTGGTCACATTGGGGTGGAGCCGACGCCATTTTTGTAGGGCCTCCTGCGTGAGAATATGGGCTTTTGCCCCTGATTCGCGCCAGACTGATCGCGGCTCTGTGAGGACGGCCGGGGGGACCTTCCCCAGGTCAATCGTCTTGGTAGATCGGACCCTCCGGCCTTCCCGGACATGTAGGGTTAAGCCCAGGAGGCAGTTCTGAACTTTAAAAGGGTGATGCCTGCTTTCCTGACCATTAGGTACTCCTAATGGTTTCTTCATGGACAGTTCAGTATTGTTGAGGCTACTCTGTCCCTTATAAACACTAGGCGGAACCTTAATGTATTTCTGAGGCTTATCTGTAGAGATTTACTCTCCTTCATCCCTTTACAGGGTTTAGCTTTTTTTTTTTTTTCCTCTCCCCAGAAGACTTGTTTCATGTTTAGCTAAGTTTTCTACTTTTGCTTCGAGGGATGAATATGTTTTGGTGGGAATAAAGACCTTTAAGTTTCCTCCGTTCTGAGGCGAAACAGTCACAAATTATCAGACTTGAGGATAAGTTTATTTGACATTTCCAAAATGGAAGACCTAATAACACTCTTAAAGAAATTCTCCTTTTTGTAGATGTACATCGTCATTTTAAATATTCTTACAATTCCTAAAGAAAATTGTGCAGGTAGAAATGGGGAAAATGTTGCATTTCTTATGAGAGGAGCATATTTCACAGCCCACAAGAAGTCTCCTTTGATTATTTATCCTTAGGATCTTCTCCAAGGACTCGGGCCTACTTCTGTACTCTTTTCTACTTGACAGCTGGCTCCAGGGATTCTTCCATATTTCCTTTTAGTAGATGTCAATCACTTTCTGCCTCAGGATACTTGGTCCTCTTAGGACACTCCACCTTGCTACCCTGGGTAGTCAAACTTGCAGGTCCTTTTTGTAGCAAGGATCTTTACTGCTAATTATTCTGGGAAAGATGGAGCTTTTAAAGTCTTAGTTTTCTTCTGATCTGTATAATCTTTATTCCCTCTTAGATGGTAACCAGATGACTTCAATCTTAGTTTCACCTTTATTTCTAGTGATGAGATTTCCAATTCCCTCAGTAGGCTGTAAGTTCTATAGGGCAGGAATAGTGTCTTTTTTGAATCACATTGGGATTGCTAGCACTTGACACTTAATAGATACTCAATAAATATTTGTTGGCTTAAATCACCATCTTTCTGTTGACTCCACCCTTAGGTGAATAATAGGTTCCTCTTTGGATCCAAGGGGACAGGACTTTTACACTAAATCACATCTAGTTCATCTAGCCTTATGTCTTCTTAAGAAAGATCCCTTCTGGGAATTTCTCCAAACCACCTGGATTGTTTTTAAAGAATGTTCAAGTAACTTATGTTACTTTGTTTTAAAGAATTTTATGTTACTTTAATTGTGTGCTCAGACCTGGTCTCATTCATTCAAATGAGAATTTAAAGAGCATTCCATTACATGGCAATAAAATAGAGAGGGGAATAGTTAATTCTGATAAGTTGACAAGTCATGAATTTTTTAAATAAATAACATTTGAGATATACAAATTTTGTGGACACCTGGGAATCCATTACTCTGTATTTAAGAATTATAACACAGCTGGGCGTGGTGGCTCAAGCCTATAATCCTAGCACTTTGGGAGACTGAGGTGAGAGGATTGCCTGAGTCCAGGAGTTCGAGACCAGCCTGGGCCACTTGGTGAGACCTTGTCTCTACAATAAATTTTTAAAAAATTAGCTGGGCATGATGGCACATGCCTGTAGTTCCAGCTACTTGGAAGACTGAGGTGAAAGGATCACCTGAGCCCAACAGGTACAGCCATGGCCATGAGTGTGCCACTGCACTCCAGCCCGGGCAGTAGACTGAGACTCCAACTCAAAAAAAAAAAAATTACAACACAGACTGAATTCTCCAATCCTCATTTACTCTCTTTCTGGAGATAACCACCAGGCTGAGTTTGGTGTTTATCATTGCTGTACATGTAAAACCAATCTATCTTATTTAGAGGAAGGAGACTTTTCAAGATGTCTGAATTTTATGAGATGAAGTTTACTTATGTAGGAATAAGCTTGTTTTTATTTTTCTGTGTTTCTTCATTGGAAAGTCTACTGAGTATAATCTACTTGTTAAGTGACTTTTGCTTTGGATTGATTCTTTTTTTTTTTAATCGGAGTCTTACTCTGTTGCCTGGGCTGGAGTGCAGTGACAAAGTCACAGCCACCACAGCCTCTACCTGCTGGGCTCAGGAGATCCTTCCTCTACAGCCTCCCAAGTAGCTGAAACTACAGGCATGTGTCACCACACCCAGCTGATTTTTTGGTTTCTCGTAGAGATGAGGTCTCACCATGTTGCCAGACTGGTCTCGGACCCGTGGGTTCAGGCAGTCTTGCCTCTGCCTCCCAAAGTGCCTGGCTGGATTGATTCTTAACAGCTTATTTCCTCTAGAAAGTCTTAGAAATCCATCCTCAAATCAGTAAAAGTACTCATGAAAAGCATTTTGGGTAAAGTACTGCCACACTTTAAAGAGATTACTACCTATGATTTTGAAATCCCCACTCCTTTAGGAATGTATGGCTACTCTTGACTGATTTATTCAAATATTTGCCAAACTCAGGTATATAACTCAGTAAACAGAACAGGTATGATCCCTGCCCTAAAGGACCTCTCTATTTGGCAGATCTGGCATGATTAATGGCTTGAAATACTTTTCTCTTTCTAGGAAATTGGTTTCAGTGTGCCCTAAGAATGCCTCAAATACTAAAATCTAAGGATTCTGGGTGGGTTTAGGAAATTGTAGAGGCCCACCTAAAATAGCACAGAGCAATCTGAGACTGCCCCAGGAGAGAGTAAGTGGACTTGATTCAAGAAGTTAGATGTCTGTCTTTGCAGTGCACATTCTGTTTGGGTTGTGAACTTTCTGCTGCTTCCAAGCTCTTCCCAGGAGTCCCTTAGTGTCATTAACCACTTGTAGACTTTCTCCCACCTTTTGGAAGTGGCTGCCAATGTAGTTTAGAATTTGGAATGGGAACAAAATGCTGTGGAAGTACCTTAATGTGGGGGCTAGGAGCAAAAAAAATTAGGTGTGAATCTGGTCACCCTGGCTCATTGACTGAAATCTTAAGTGAGTTACTTAACTTCTCTGGGCTTCTGTGACATGAGTAAACTGGGAATAAATGCGTGTCATTACATCATGGGGTGATTGTGACAAGTAAATGGATGGCATTATTGCATGGTGGTTAAGAGCACTGGGGTTGTATAATAGAAACAAAAATGTTGATTAAGGACAGCTTTATAAAAGAAAGAAAGTAAACTGTGTATTGAATAGAGAATTTTTTTTTAATATGTGAGGTCTTGCTTTGCTGCCCAGGTTGGCCTGGAACTCCTAGGCTCAAAGCAGTCCTCCTGCCTCAGCCTCTCAAGTGGCACACCATCACACTGTTGAGATTTCGGTATTTATGATACTCTGCTACCAAAAGTTTGAAAACCACAGTTCTCTGTTTATACATACTTCTCATTTCATTTTGAAAGCATCTGGTTCCTTCCATATAGAGCCTGGCTTCAGAAGGCACCCAAGAGTTCAGCTTACAAGAGTATCTGTGGAATTGTATTTTTATTTGGAAAGAATGAGTGCTAAGGTGAAATGTTTTTTCATATACTTTTGTATATGTTATTTGTGTTTATTTCATGGCAGAAAAATTCCAAAAGGAGATTCCAAAAAGGGATGATGATAATGTGAATATGATTGGAGATTCCAAGTTTAATATGCTTGAGTAACCAAATTATGTGAATTTTTAAATTTAAGACATTTTTTAAAAATAGTTTTATAAGCCTTAATTTAGTTTCACTTCATGCTGTTTTGCAGATAACTAATGTCGTTTCCTTTCTTTTTTTTAAAACCATCAGGTAAAGGTGGTAAAAATAGGCGCAGAGGTAAGAATGAGAATGAATCTGAAAAAAGAGAGCTGGTATTCAAAGAGGATGGTCAAGGTAAGCGTTTTTCATAAGTGAGGCTTTTTTTTTGTAACATCTTTTTTAATTATGGAATTTAAGTTTAAAAGGGATCCTATTCATAATCCTGAGCAGCAAGTCTCATGTCTCTTTTATTCTTCTCCAGTTCTCAGTCCCCACACTTCTTCAGAGCCCTTCTCTCAGTAGTCATTTCCTGCTTCTACTCAGTCTGCATTTCTGTAAAGATACAGGTTTCCTTGTTCTATATGAACACTTATATTAGAACTAACAATGAGTTATATAGTTTAGAGAAAATTGGGCCTCGGAAGCTATGGTTGACAATTCCATGATTTTGTGTATCATTTTTGACAGTTGATGGTGCTATACTGTGTTTAATAGACCCAGGACATTTGAAGGATGAGTCCAGGCCCTTGCAGGCCTCTCCATCCTCTAGTACCATTAGCATATGATTTTATAAACTACAACAAAATGAAACTGAACAGTTGACTGACCTTTTTAGACCATTTAAGATTTTTGTAAGTGTGAGACCAAGATATGCGTACATAACACTAATAAAATAAATTCTAACTTGGTCACTTGCTTTTTCTCCATATTTTTATTTTGAGTCATTTCAAATCTACAGAAAAGTTGCATTGTTAGTACAATGCACTTCCTTAAATCTTTGATCTTCACACACATATATATAAAGAAACACATATATACGTATAGGTTTTCTTGGAGACTACTTGAAATTTAGTTAAAGATGTCATGCTACTTTTCCCTCACTTGTTCATGTGTCTCCTAAGAGCAAGTATGTTTTCTTATATAACTACAAGAACACTATCACAGTCAGGTAATTTAATATTAATATATTATCTAGTATCTAATCCATATTCAAATTTCCCCAATTCCAATAATTTCCAGCACTTAAAGAACTTTTTTAGATTGTCTTTCTAAAGAACTTTTGGTGGATTTATTATGCTATACATATAAGCTACTAAAAATGAAGCATGTTTTTCTAGCTAAAAGACCTCTTTAGTCATTCTTGCCTCCATTAGCAACTGGGCAGACACTACTTTTTCTTTTTCATGTTTTTTCCCCCACTTTGGAAGAACAGCAGCTTCTGAGTTGCCCAACCATCTTGAGGTGCTAGGTGGGTGGGTGTTCGGTTCACTGTAGTCTGAGTATGAGTAACTCACTTCCATAAGTCAGCCCCACAGTTGAGTCTTTCAAAGTTAAGTCTCAGTGTCCTACAAATTATTGAGCAAGGTCAGTCTTATGTACAACTTGTAATCTAAAGGGTCTGAAGTGATGTGTCTCGCTAGTGCTGCCATGCTCCCCTTCCTCCCAGTAAGTCTCACAATCTCCTTGGAGTTTTTCAAGTGGCAATAAAATCAGGAAAATTTTGGTTAAAAGTTTGGCATTTTACCTGGGAGTATCTTTCTTTCTTTATAAGAACTCTAGGATAATCACCAAGATATTCTAATTTAACAAAGACATTGTTAATGTTTCGCTTTTTGTTTGCCAAATCTACTAAAAATTGTATGAGATTTGCTTCTAAAGGTTCTGAGAGAAAGAAGAGCCAAAACTGGGAGATTGATGAGGTGTGGTGTACACTTGGGGACATGCCACCTTTGGTCTCCAAAAGTAGAGCATGCAGTCATGAAGACGTCAGTCAGTCTGCTTACCCAAATAAGTAGATAAGACAACTCGTTATAGAATTAGCATTACAGAGTCTTGGTTCTGACTGCCATTAGCTAGTTTGATGTGAATTATTCCCTTATATTTATATTTCTACTGTATATATTTATTCTCAGCCAGTACAACTATATGGTCTTGTCAGTTTGGTGTGGACTTTAAGATGCTTTTATCAAAAGTTGAACAATGTTCCATACCCTTCTTTTCCTCCCCAGAGTATGCTCAGGTAATCAAAATGTTGGGAAATGGGCGACTAGAGGCGATGTGCTTTGATGGTGTAAAGAGATTATGTCACATCAGAGGGAAGTTGAGGAAAAAGGTAGGTGTGAAGATTTGTTTTACTTTAATATAAAATTGTTTAAGGGAGAAAAATATCTTTATAGTTTTTATTGTCCGTGGACTTCATTTTTTGGAAATCCTAAAAGGTTTACCTAGGTAAACAATGATTTACCTATATAAGTCAAACAGCAAGATCCTCAGTGGTAATTTTATACAGATTCTATTGTTTAAAGAATCATTTGCATCACTTCTCTTGTATTCCTACCCAAAATGTTTAACCTGAATCTGAATCATGAGGGATACAATCAAGAAATCCAAATTGAGGGACATTCTACAAAACAAATGGCCTGACTCTTAATGAAATTCCATAATCCGGGCACTTTGGGAGGCTGAGGCAAGAGAATCACTTGATCCCAGGAGTTTGAGACCAGCCCAGGCAATATAACGAGACCTCATCTCTGCAAAAATTAAAAAATTAACCAGGTGTGGTAGCATGCACCTGTAGTCCCAGCTACTCAGGAGGCTGAGGCAGAAGGATCGCCTGTACCCAAAAGGTTGAGGCTGTGGTGAGCCATGATCATGCTACTGCTCTCCAACTTGGGCACCAGAGTGAGAGTCCAATCCAAAAAAACAAAAAACCAAATGTTGCTGTTATGAAAGTAAAAATATATTAAAGGACTGAGAAACCATGCCAATTTCAAGGAGACTTAAAGAGACCTGATAGTTAAATGTAGTACTTGACCCTCATTTGGATTTAAAGAGTACATTAAGAAAATTTGGGCTATAAAGGGTACATTAAGAAAATTTGGGCTATAAAGAGTACATTAAGAAAATTTGACCAACTTGGACAACATACAGAGAACTCATTTCTACAAAAATTTTAAAAATTAGCCAGATGTGGTGGTGCCTGCCTGTAGTTCTAGCTACTTGGGAGGTTCACAGAGGAGGATTACTTCTTCCCAGCAGGAAATGTTGTGTTACTCAAGTTGGCTAAAAATCCCAACTCTGATATTCTGTTTGGTTTGGTTTGTTTTTAATTTGGTATGTTGGTCCTTTACTTCCCGGGTTAAAGGGCTTGGGGAGCTGCCTGTATGTGGACGCATGGAAGACCGGTATGAGAGAGGGAAGAAGATAAAAAACATAATCCTCTATTCTTATATAATAGATAATTGACCACTTAGGATGGTTCATGATCAGACATCTCCCAATTTTTAAATTAATCATTACTCTGGAATTTCTTGATTCCTCATTTTTTATTTTAAATATGACACGCAGTGACTTTTTTCTTTTATAGGTTTGGATAAATACTTCAGACATTATATTGGTTGGTCTCCGAGACTACCAGGTAAAAAGAGACATGTACATTTTTCATTGTGTACTGGCTTGAATTTGATGAGTCATTTCTTAAGAGCTAGTTGTGTTTTAGGCATTGTGCTAGGTATCCCAGGGATTATGTTTAAATCAAAGTCTGGGAATCATTATTCTAGGGATACAGCTAAATGATTCAAGCTCCCATCCCACAGAAGGTTCACAGCCTTGTAGTGGAGAGAATAAGACAGGCACACAAGTAATTAAAGGTAGATGAGCATTTAGGAAAGAAAATGGTACTTTTCCTTCATGATTTCAACCTTGACTCTATAGTCTTTACTGTGGGTGTGAAGCCTATTGGAATTCAGCCTCGTGTGATGATATCTCTATTTTTATTGTCTTGATCATACTTTGGCTTTTTAAAAATATTCCAGAATAGGCCATTGCTTTACTAGACTCTGGTGTGGTCATGTGCTCTTTGAACTATGTCCACTGCCATGTTTCCTAAGCTTTGGCCCCCTCTCCTACCTTGGGGAGGTGAATCTTTTTCTCCTTCTAATTTACTTTCTAAATAAACTATATTTTCTTTTTCTTTTTTTTTTTATGGCTCACGCCTATAATTCCAGCACTTTGGGAGGCAAAACTATGTTTTCTAATCTAACTTCAGTGTAATTCTTTGCATCTTTCTTGTAGCACCAGATCACACACTAGATACCCACATCCCCGGTAGGCCTGACCTAACATTCTGGAAACCCCTGCTGGGAGTATGACCTAATATTTTTGGAGGTCCCACTGAGCTATGCCACACTCTTGTTCTCTCTCACTCTTTCTCAGCCCGTGTCTTTATGGAGAGAGATTAGGTGCTTGGATCCTTTTCTCTGCTACTAGGCTCTTCCTCTTCCTCTTATCACCCGTGACAAGCTATATCAAATGGAAAAAAAAAATTCCAGAATAAAGAATTAAAATCTTGGCCCTATACTATTGGGTTTCACCCATGGACACTTGCTCTCCAGGGGACATTGGCAGTGTCTGGAGACATTTCCGGTTGTCACTAGTAGATGCCAGGGTGCTGCTAAACATCCTACAGTAGACAAAGACAGCATCCACAACAAAGCATTATCCAGCTCAAAATAATAGTGCTGGGGTTGAGAGAGCTTGCTTTAAATTCATACCATTTCAATGTTTATTTTCTTATTTTGATCCTAACAATAACCCCAGAAGTGGGAAAAATAATTAATTCCCTGGTTGACAGATAAGGACACCAAGGATCCAAAAGGAGTCACAGCCAACACCAACTCTTTTCTGATTTGGAATGTCTCATGATCCTTCTTTGCCCCCACTACTTATGGAGTGGTCCATAGCTCAGCAGCATCCCTGTCTTCTGGAAACTTGTTAGAAATGCAGGTTCTTGATCTGCTTCAAACCTCCTCAGATCAGAACATGCATTTTAACAAGATTCACATGGGCTTCTATACACTTTACATTTTAAGAAGTACTGCTCTGAATCACACTGTCTTTGAAGTTGAAGTGATCAATTTTCTCCCTTAACTGAGTCAGATTCTTTTTAAATAGGGAGGTGTAAATATTCTGAGGCAGTATTTTTTAGTGGAACAGTTGCATTAGGTCAGCAAGGGTACCTGCATAATCAACGTCTGTATAGCTAACCCTGAATTGTACCCCACATCTTTATAATAATAATAATAAAAGAAACACCCAGAGAACTTTTGCAAATACATATTCTTGAGTTTCACATCACATCTACTAATCTATCTTCAGGAGATGTAAAAACTTCACTGGAGATTCTGATTGATACGTACCTTAAGCAGCACAGATACATAGAAAAGTATACTAATTTCCTTAGATAATTATACCAGTCTCAGTTTGGGAATTGCAGTGTTTGATCACCCTGCAAATTATAATCCCAGAGAACTTTTACATTTCGAAAGACTTCTAATCAAAGGGTAATATTAAATAATCTAAAAGATGGGAGTCTACACAGTTCTGCTCTTATTCAAGTGAGATTTCCTAGCTAGGTACAGTGGCTCATTCCTGAAATCCCAGCATTTTGGGAGGCCAAGGTGGGAGGATCAATTGAGGCCAGAGGCCAGAAGTTAGAGACCAGTCTAGGCAACAAATGGAGACCCTGTCTCTAAAAAAAGTTTAAAAAATAAAAAAAATTAGCCAGGTGTAGTGGCATGCACCTGTAGTCCCAGCTACTCGGGAGGCTGAGGTGGGAGGATCACTTGAGTCCAGGAAGTTAGGGCTGCAGTGAGCCATAATTGTGCCACTACACTCCTGACTGAGTGAGAACCTATCTCTAAAAATATATGTATGTATGTATACATATTTCCTGAGCTTGTAATCATTATTCAGTCTTGCATAAAAACTGCTTCCTACTATGTTAAACCCAAGTGTGTTTTTTGGAGGGTGGGAGAAAGCTTTAAATTTTTTTTAAAAGGGAGAAAGGTTTCTAACAAAACAGTAAGATTTGCTTTTTTAATTCAATTTGAGAACTTATAAAATAACTGATAATATTTTGGCATGATCAGTTATAAAAGTTACCTGTCTCTCTTTAAGGATAACAAAGCTGATGTAATTTTAAAATACAATGCAGATGAAGCTAGAAGTCTGAAGGCGTATGGCGAGCTTCCAGAGCATGGTAATATCTTAGTTGTTACTATATTTACTTATTAGTGACATTTAGGCTATCTGTCAGTGTTTAGGTGAAGGAATTTTGAGGATTTTGAATATTTACTTTTGTACTTACGTGAATAGTTTTAAGTATGTCTACCTATATTTCATAATACTAGATAGATACTGCAAGAAAGAATTTACTGGAATTCTGTTACTAGTAAGTAATATCTTTGATAAGGAGTTATACTTTATAAGCCCTGGACTTCTACATAATAATCAAAGAAATAATTTTGTTACAGAATTTATTTTAAAATTCCTTCCACAAGAGACTATCAGTGTTCATCCGTGTTAAACATGAAGCAAGGACAATAATTGGGTACTATTGAAAATTAGATTTCAGTTCATCTTATGGCAGTCTATAAGATTTTTTAAAATCAGCATTCTTAGTTTTCTCCCCTTCAAATACAATAATGTATTCTTACTGCAGAAAACTTAAAAATATGTCCCTTATAACCTTCCCAGAGGGGAAATGTACTTTACATACTATTTTGTAAGCCTGCCTTTTTCACTTGACAGTTACTATAAAACAACATAATTAGATTTTTTGAAATAATTTTACTCAAACATGAAAATCCTGCAGAAATTATTTACTGGCATTTTTGATCTAGTGTTTCCCGGTGCATTTTCATTGCTTAAGGTTAAACATGATTTGACCAAGTCTTTCTGATCAATGAGTTTATCTGATAATTGGTGAACCAGATAGTCTTATCTTAAGGAAGTTGTTACCATGTGCTCAAACCTATTTTGAATATACCTGGAAGTTATAATAGCTTCAGAATTAGTATAATTAGAGCCTGCCTTACTAAAAATACCTTTCCAAAAAAAATTAGAACACAAATAATCTCCATCTTGACATAGCTGTGACCTTGCAGGAAATTTTGTTTTATAAAATATTCTTTATAGTAGTATTGTTATATAGAAGTTAGGAAGACTTTTCTTATAATGAAACTTTGATTAAATGAAATTATAGTGTTGACTTAAGAATCTTCTACAGTTCAGCATTTGATATCAGACCCATTTCTTTTAGTGGACAGTTAATTCATTTTAATAACATCTTGATTATATTACATGAGTATATTTGTTTTTGTGTCTTTAGCTAAAATCAACGAAACTGATACATTTGGTCCTGGGGATGATGACGAAATTCAGTTTGATGACATTGGAGATGATGATGAAGACATTGATGATGTAAGTAGATGTACCTGTGTTTGCCAATTTTTGTTATCATCCACAAAGAAATCAGCTTTCCCCCAACTTCCTTTAATTTTAAGACTGGAATACTTAAATAATGGTACATTTTTAGACTTATCTATGAATTAAAATAGTATAATTTAGAAGACAACTAGTCAAACTGTTTATGCTTTGAAAATTCTGAATCCTCTTCATTCTCCCTTTGGAGACCCTGAGCCAAGAGGATTATTGTGACTAAACTGTTACTAATACTTTGACAGTAGAATTAACAATTCTAGTCTTTGGTAAAAACCTGACATGCAGCTGACATGTTGATAAGGGCTGATCCAAACACTTTTACAACTGGGCTGGGGTAGAAGGCCTCTTTGGAATATTAAGGAGCCTGGCTGGGCTCGGTGGCTCAGCCTGTAATCCCAGCACTTTGGGAGGACGAGACAAGTGGATTACCTAAGCCCCCAGGTTTGAAGCAAGCCTGGGCAACTTAACGAGACCTCGTCTCTACAATAAATCAAAATTAGCCAGGCGTGGTAGCACGCGCCTGTAGTTCTGGCTACTTGCAAGACTGAGGCGGAAGGATCGCCGGAGCCCAGCAGGTTAATGCTGGGTGGCCATGAGCGTGCCACTGCATTCCAGCCTGGGCGATGGAGTAAGACTCCAACTCAAAAAAAAAGAAAATTAAGGAGCCTAACCAGAGAACATGTGTGACTATGAAGGTACATACACCAAGAAGATAAGCTGAGAATCTAGATAGGGTTTTATCAGAAAAAAAATTTCTGAATCTGTGCCAATGCCATTTCCAAACTGGACCTAGCTGATTGGCAGGAAAAAAGATGGTAAAGACAGTGATTATAAAAGTAATTTGAGTCCTGTTGCACATTTTCTAATGGTTAGTTCTATCACCTGAGAACCCTACTTCTCTGACACATCTCTCCAGATGGTATATAGGTGTTCTAGTTGTCACTTCTATAACCAGATCGACTCAGAAGGTCAATATCACACTTGTTCCATTCTTAAAGAAATCATGCCTACAAAATACAAAATGTCAAATCACCAGCATGAAAGGAAGAGACATTAAACTTTATTAAGAGTAATCTTTATAACATATAATGTTGCAAAGGAGACCATAAAGATTTACTAAGAGCGGGCTAAAATGGAGAAAAACCTAGTATATGGAATTTCCCCTTGAAACCGGATTTGTTTCCCAAATAGTCTAAGGAGGGAAAAATCTCCCTTATATATGTACTAGACTCATCTTTTGACCTGATGTTCTTTTCCCTTCTAGATCTAAATTGAACTCAGCATCTTACATTCCATTTTTTCTGAAGATTGTCCTACAGTTTGGATTTTGACCATTACCCTTTAAGAAGATTAAAATTTCATTAGCATGAATGCAATTTGTTAAAGCAGACTGGTTTGTTTCTAAGGTATTTGCGTTTCTTCAAAAATGAATAATACTGAATTATCTTAGTGAGATGTTAAGCCCACTTTGTTCTTTTGATGTAATGGAGTTTATGAGTAGAAGACCACATCTATTTTAAAAAAAAAAAATGCATTGCTGCCTTTCCTACTTTGACCACTTCCAGTAGGTAAATGGATGTTTTCAATAGACCATTTACCTTGTTCTTGTTATAGATTATGATTAAGCCCTAGTTTTAACTAGCCTCTTGACTGTACAGAGTCATTGTGTATATTCCAATTACCTAGATGTTCCCTTGAGATTTTGGTAAAATTTGAGGGAGGCAGAAATCTGCATTTGAAGTAAAAGATCTTTTTTCATATTTAAGTAGCATGTGGCTATTTTTATACTAATTTTGATATCATGTACATTCTTTTCATGATATTATTTTGCCACCACAAACATATCAAAAAAGCATTTCCAAAATGTAGTTTTTAGAACCTTGGGTTTTATTTTAATAGCAATTTTGAATCTGTAAGCTTAGTACTTGCAGAAGAACACTAGGTGGCACCCAGTTATCTTAACATTGGAAATATTGATGTAATTGTTTAATTGTTGACTTTTTCTTTACTTGGCATAAGAAATTTCCCAAACATGAGAAGATTGTTTTTGATCATATTCATGTATGTAGAATATTTTTACAAAACAGAAGGATTACATTAAAAGTGTTATTTTATTTTCAGAAGTCATTTACAAGTAAGCTACAATTTGAGTGCTTTAATAAACACTTAAAATATATATAAATTTAATTTCATAACAACTTGTACAGATTAAGCCCTTTTCAATATATTCCTAAGCTGGGGAAAGAGGAGGGAATAACAACTTAATGGAAAAATGGTCTCTAATTTCTGAATGGAAAAGCTACAGCTGAGAAATATAATAAAATGTCATGCTGCAGAGTATATTATACCCTTACTTTGTGTTAAGGATGTATTTTATTATGTGAGTAGATTTTATTATTAATATTTTGCTTGTATTGGGAACTAGGTTTGCTGGTAACTTCCTTATTTCATTTTTAGTTATCAACTCTAATAAAATGGAATTGGGCCTGAACTAGTTAGACCTCATGAGCCACATTGAAATCACATGCAACTATAAAAGAAGAGATCCATTATATAGTTTGTGGCACTTTTATTCTATTGGTCTCCAGAGAACTTTTCAGTGATGAAAAGTAATATATGGCCTTACATGGCTTCAAGAAACAAGCAAATCTTCTCATACTGCAATTTCCTAAGTGTGCAAACTCTAGATTCAAAAATCTGAGGTACCAGAAAGCATTACTACGTTGAAAAATAGAAATTAAGAGTACATAATTGTGATTCATACTTCTCATTCTGTGGAGTTCCTGAACACTAGGGTGGAATACATCTGAGACCAAGGGCTGGTTTTTAGTACTCATAAGATTTCATGATGGTCTTCATTCGTACTCTAAACCTCCTAAGATATTTAGGCTCTGTACATAAAAGTGGTTTGCTAAATTTACAGTATGTATAGCTCCTTGGTAAAATTTTGTAATTTTACCAAGAATGTTTGAATTTGGCATATGTGGTACAGTTCCTAGTAGGGATAGTGCAACTCAAACATTTGTTTTTCTACTTATCTCTTCTAATAAATATAGTTTGTCTGGAGAGTTTCTAAAAATTACAACTATGACTCTATGTAGTTGCTTTAAAGTGGAAAAATGGTATAGTTTTGTTAACTGATTATATTTCAAATGAGGAACGGAGGTGGTCTTCAAGAAGGTTATTTTGTTTTTTTGTTTATACTCTTCTGATTCCTATAATAAATGCTACAAGCTATGCCCAGAAAGAAAATAAAATGTTTGAAATCCAAGAATAATGGTTCTTAGTGCAAAGAGGATGTGTTAGTTACTACTAATGAATTTAATGGGCTTGCATTTTTCATACAGTGTTCGTTCCACTTCAGTTAGAGCATAAATATGTTGTATTACTAAGGTGGCCAAATAAAACCAAACCAAGCATTTGTGTAAAAAAAAAAAAAAGAGAGAGAGAGAGAGACGTGCCAAGACTTGTTTGGCTGTTGAATATTTCTTCTTAAACATCCAGCCTCTAAAGAGACCACTTCTTAAGGAGCCTGTAAACTATGCATGATGGAAATTCTTGTATTTTATTGAGGAATGGCCATTGGTTTACTTACCACATCTATGGAATCATGGCTATAAATAGTTGCTGATAAAACTCTTTGTGACTTGTAATTTAACTTAATCTCCTCTTACATAAATACTAAATTATGATGCTAAATAACATCTTTAATAGGTATAAACTGGTGTCAGTATTGACTTCAGAGTAACTCTGAGTAACCAAATAGGTAAAAGCATGTTTTGAATAAAATACTAGCTAGATTTATACTTTATTTGTATTGTGTAAAAATTTAACAACGTCCAGAATTGACTGGCTTGACACTTAAGTTATCATAAAGAAAATGAGGTTTTTTAATGTTACCTGATTGTCATAAAGGTGAAAAGGATTTGTATTGGTATGAAATGTTTATCTTGCTTAGTAAGGGTAAGTTTCATTTGTACTGTGTGGGGTCCCTTGAACTTTTGCACGCTGCTTTATGTTTGTGGTTTACCTTAAACCACTATCCTTTTTATCCTTGCTTTTTTTCTTCCTATTCAGAAAAGGAAAAAAAATGTGAAAAGACACTAGACTCTAGGTTTGGCGTGAACTGAGCGATTTGGAGAGTGTGGACTTTGTCCTCTCTTTGCCCCGCAGCTGTCTGGTACTTAAGAGGCAGTGTACTAGAGAGGGAAGAGCATGGGCCTGTGCCCCATCCCCTACTTCACATTCTACCTGAAGGTGACCACAGGCACTTTCTCTATCCTTTCTCAGCTTCAGGCTCCTCATCTACCTGTAAGACGGGGATGATGACAACAGCACCTGTCTTGTTAGGAGGATTGATAATTTAGACATTTATACATGTGACACACTTAGAGCAGTGTCTGCCTCTTTTCATTTGATATCCAGGACTGTGTAAGATAGAAGATGCATGTCTTCAATATTCTGTAGTTAACATTTTTTTTTGCATGCAGTCTTTGATTCTTATGATGAAAGGAGCATACAAAATGTATATTGGTGTCAACACAATATTTAAAATCATCACTACCAACCTCATTTAATTGGGCATAAGAGTAGCAGGTGGAAGTCTCTTAAGTTGCTTGAAGATATTTTACAAAATGCCAACTATTCTATATCTCTTTAGAGAAAATTTATAGTTATTAATAGTAATAGCTCTGGTAATGTTTTATTCTTAAGCCTTCAATGAGTCCTTTAACCATCGAGTCCTTCTATTGTCGTTTCATTATGGATTCATGACAGCTAATTAGAACTGACTGATTTAGAGGTTTCCTTTACCATCATTTGGAATGATGTAAAGAAATCAGATATAAACTGCTGCAATTAGAAAATAAAATATGAAATAGCTTTCAACAATGTATACAATTGATTCTTTTAAAACTTTTTATAACAATTCTAACTACTTAAACTTTTATTATGGTGATTCTTTTCTGAAAATTTTATATATTTTTAAACTTAATTGTGATATATAAGGACGAGGTATACTTTTTGTCTAGATTTGGTTATTTGATCCAAATGAATCCATTTAGTCGTACTCTAAATATGGTGCTGCATTTTCTTAGCAAGTTGAATTTGACAAAACTTGTACTGAAGAAAACATTTTCTAACAGAAAAGTCACCCGGGCATGGTGGCTCATGCCTGTAATCCCAGCACTTTGGGAGGCTGAAATGGAAGAAATGTTTGAGACCAGCCTGGGCAACTCAGTGAGACCTCGCTCTACAAAAAATACAAAAAAAAAAATTTAACTGGGCATGGTAGTGCGCAACTGTTGTCCCAGCTACTTGGGAGACTGAGGCAGAAGGATTGCCTGAGCCCGGGAAATTGAGGCTGAAGTGAACTGTGATCGTGTCACTATACTTCAGCCTGGGCAACAGTGAAACCCCAACCCAAGAAAAAAAAATACTAATGGTAAAGTCAGTTGTCCAGAATTACCCCAAATTGCCTAAATTACTTTCAACAGACCTTCCTTTGTACTATGCAAAGACCTATAGGTGAAGTAATTATTTATACTTCTGGCCAACTTTCTCAATTTAAAACACCAGTCGTTACCACCATTCCATGTTTTGTTCATTTCACAACTTGATAATGGCAGATCAAAAAATGGAGCCAAGGCTAGATGTGGTGGCTCACGCCTATAATCCTAGCACTTGGGGAAGCTGAGGCAGGAGGATTGCTTCAGACCAGTCGAGGCAATAAAGCAAGACCTCGTCTCTTCAAAAAACTAGCTGGGCATAGTGGCGTGTACCTGTAGTCCTAGCTACTTGGGAGGCTGAAGTGGAAGGATGACCTGAGCCCAGGAGGTCAAAGCTATGGTGAACCCTGATCCTTGCTGACACTGCACTCCAGCCTGGATGACAGTGAGATCCTGACTCAAAAAAACAAAAAAACAAAAAACAAAATCTAAGTAAAGTCCCACAGCTGATTCCTATACTGTCAGATACAGAATTAGTTGGATTTTGCAGATTTGGTAAAGTTTTATAATACATTTATGATTGTAAACCTGTTTGTGGAATTGAAGAATAATAGGAATTTTCTATTTTTGACAAAGATTGTCTACAAAAAGCAAACATAAAAGAAACTTTCAATTTTAAGCAAAGGTTTTACTAAAGCTGACAAGACATAGAAATTGTTAAATCTAGTGAGATTAGACTAATCTCATACATTAGAGATATCCTAACCTTTGAGTACACATCAAGGAAAAAAACTTGTGATTATTTGTTTTGCAAACTAAACTGGACACTTTTTCATAAAACATCATTTTTACTTGAAAGAACAACTGCTTATTAAAAAAATTAGGTGTGTATGCCAACATTTTTGTGAAAATGAATGAAATGAGCCTGTCATTTCACAGAAAACGACTGACAGGATTTGTTGCTGACAATAAAATTTAAACTTTCAAGTAAACAGTTTTTAGAAAACTAATGTCCACTACCATTAGCTTGACAGCTTCATAGTAAAGACTTTTTTGAAGAGATGAGAGAGATTAATGCAACTCTTTAATATTGTAGGATGAAATTTGTCAACATACGGGATATCTTTTTCCATTGCTCTGTTGGCCAATATTTTCCAAATTTTGCAGATGTATGAAATCCATTCAGAGTTCAAACTAGATCAGTGAATTTTAATGTAAATATGAAAAGTTTGTTGATTTGGAGTTAGATTCTATAATACAACTATTAAGAAATTACTTGTCAAGGCTGGCATGGTGGCTCATGCCTGTAATCCCAGCACTTTGGGAGTCCGAGGTGAGAGACTTGCTTGAGCCCAGGAGTTCAAGACCAGCCTGGGCAACATAATGAGACCTTATCTCTACAAAATATTAAAAAAGTTAGCCATGTGGCACCTGTCTATAGCTCCTGCTACTCTGGAGGCTGAGGTGGAAGGATCTCCTGAGCCCAGGAGGTAGAGGCTGGGGTGAGCCAGAAGTATGCCATTGCATTCCAGCCTGAGTAACAGTGAGAACTTGATGTAAAAGAAGTGTTATACCTAACCCTGAATTGTACCCCACATCTTTAAAATAATAAAATTGTAAAGATTAAGTGTAGTATCAAAGATAGAACATGCACAGTTATCTGAAAGGATTTAAAATATGCCTCCCTTTTCCAACTACATACCTCTGAGGACACATTTTCTTCGTAGGCTTTAACCAAAACAATATACAACACATTGAAGACCAAAAAAGATATGAGACCATCTTCTATTAAGCCAGACAAAAAAGATTTGCAAAAGTGTTAATGCCATCTCAGTTTTGGTTTTGTTAATTTTCATTAAAAATATGTTATTACGTTAACACATTGGGTTTATTATTCAATTAATACATATTTTAAAAATTTACAGTACAGTCAATAGTACTTTATTATACCATTTAGTTCATAGTCTAGCACAGCTCTTAAATTTTCTGGTATCAGAGCCCCTTTATAGGAAGGGTCAGCAGAAATACAGCCCACTGTCTATTCCTGTTAAAGTTTTATTGGAATATAGCCACGACCATTTGTGTGTTGCCTATGACTGCTTTTGTGCTACAATGGCAGAATTGAGTAGTTGTAACAGACTGGATGACCTGCGAGGTCCTAAAATAGTAAAGATACTATTCAACTATAACTATAGGCCTAAAGTATTTACTATCTGATCCTTTATAGAAAAGGATTTGTCATTCCCTACTTTGTATTTAAAAATGAAGAATCACAGAGCTTTTTTCCCTGCTAATGGTAGATTTAAGTTCCAGGGCTCTAATTTTTACTTGAAAGTACAAATGTAGCACTGGCAACAAATACTATCAGTTTTCTTTGAAACAACAAGCTCAGAATTTCTAAGAATTCTAAAAACAGTGCAAAAAGGAATTCACTCCATGTATTTATTAAATTGCACCAAGAGTCATAGTAATAAATAATGAGACCTCTTAAAGCTCAGACCATAAATGGTGAAAAGTTGATGGATTTGATCCCATTGTAATACCATCGTGAGAAAGATTTGAATCAAGCAAGAACTATCAGTGGATGCTAAATCTAGAAAGAAATTTTGATGAAGACTAAGGTTAGCCACGTGACCCTTAAATGCCTCCCCACAGACTCTTATTACAAGAGAAAAACTACCTCTACATTGGAGGAGCTGGCAGTCAATTAGATAAAATGGGACCCATATTAAATTTACTGAAGCTGGTAATTAGTGTGGTTATGTCATAATCTTAGGAAGTATTTGTAACTTTCAAACAATTGAGGATAAAAAATTTATAGATACAGGGGCAAATGCTAAAATAAATGGAGTAAAAGTGTTAATAGGGTTTTGTTAAAAGACAATTTTGCTAATCTTAGAAAACTTTAGTTGACTAGGATGAAATATTTGCAACATTTAAACCCACAATTACCTAGAATACAAAAAACTTGTGGAAATCAAGAAGAGTAGCCCTATGGAAAGATGGACAAGCACCGAACAAGCAATTTACAGAAGAGTGAACCACATTAAATGGCTAATCATTTTTTGATAGATTTGTATACGGTTGCAATGGATAAATCTTGAAAACAGTACTAAGCAAGGAAAAACAATGATAACTTGCAAGATATCATTTGTATACATTTAAAATGCATGCATAGATCTTCACTATATGTTTCAAAATTAGAGCTGCAAAAATACCGGAAGAGGTGTTTATGACTAGGGAAAAGAATGGGAGTGAGAATGGAAAGTAAAGGGACAAAAAAATAGAATAAAAGTAGACACACAGATGTCGGCAGGCCATGAACTCAAAAGTTGGATGAATGAAACTCACCGAAGGTCTCTAAGAATTGGAGAAAACAATGGTAAAGCTCTCTTGCTCCTAATAACTTGGCTGAATCTTAATGGGTTAGAAGGAGCTTTCATCGTAGGTGGGACACCAGCCCTGACTTGCCCGCTCTTTTGCTCATTTGTCTCTAAACTCCCTTTCTGGCTTTCTCACCCCACTCGCTCTGCTCCGGACACACCTTTGGGCATGTCAGAAACATTCGCCACAGGAACATTTTTGTGCCACAAAGGAACTATTTCCAAGCTTTTTGTCAAGAGTCTGGATGCTGGTTCCTGAGGGTTTCAACTTCACATTTTTCAAAAATTGAGATAATAATTTACATACCATAAAATTCACCGTTTAAAATGTACAATTCAATGGTTTTTAGTTATGTGGTCACCATAATATAATTCTAGAATATTTTTATCATCAAAAGAAAATTTGTACCCATTATTCATCTTCATTTTTAGTTAGGTATTTCTACCCCAGGGATGTGAAAACCTCCAGAATGGTCAGCATCCAGCAGAAAAACGTGCAACCTGGGGCTCCATGGGGAAGAGTTATCACTTGGTTGACTATGCCCGGGTAAACACCTGGAGGCTTGGGCGGGTCCTGCAAAGATGTATTAATCACTGATTTTGAAAAGATAATACTTGGCAGGATTAGGGGCAAGAACTGCTCCCCCTTGCCCCACCAACACACACACACACACACAGGATTAGGGGCAAGAACTGCTCCCCCTTGCCCCGCCAACACACACACACACACACACAGGATTAGGGGCAAGAACTGCTCCCCCTTGCCCCGCCAACACACACACACACACACACACACACACACACACCAACACCCTGTTCCTGAACCCTACTCCTAAGGCAAACACGTTTAGCAGTTACTTGTGTATGTTCCCAGAGAGATTCTTCTCGCAGAGATTTCTGAAGTGAGCATTATTAACCCTGGGAGAGAAGAGGAACCGAATTGGCTGGTGAGTTGAGTGTAGTCTGAAGGCCAACGACCGCCTGCGAGCAATCCTGCCTTTCTTTGAAGATCTACCCCACTGACCTGCTGAAGTCGCTCGCCTGCCTGGGGTGTCGGTGGGGGACGTCACTAAGCGCTGGCCACCTGTGCGCCTTGAGGATTGGAACATAACTGCTTGGAAAAAGGGGTCCCCCAGCGTCTGCACACGTGGCACACTGCACTGGCCCAAGTGGCGCCCACCTGAGGCCCTATCGTGGAACTGTTTGCAAGGTTTCAGACTGAGTTTGCGTGCAGTCTCCCAGTGTGTGTAGACGTATGCGACCCATATGAGGACGTGGGCACGAGTGAGCACGTGTGTGCACGTGGTGGGGGTCCATTGTATTAACACATTTTATGAGAATGTGTGTGCACACTGTTAGAAACTGCACCCTACATCTAATACACGCTTCAAGTATGAGCGTGCACTGTATGAGGAGGTGCATTTACGCTGGGTGTGCACGTAGTGTGTGCATGATGCGTGTAAGAATTGCATGAAGCACTATACACGTTGTGTGTGTATGTGTGTGTGTGTGTGTGTATGTGTGCGCGCGCGCGTGTGTGTGTATAGTGGCATGTGCACGCCATGCGCGCGCACTGCGTGAGAACCGCTGTGCGCATCGCACATGCACGTCCTGCGCGCGCTCTGCGTGAAGACGCGTGCGCATGCGGGCGCGCGCGATCTGGTGCTGCGCGGCGGGCGGGCAGTGCGCCTGTGCAGCCGGCGCATCCCGATGGAGCGAGACGGTGGCTTCGGGGCGGGATCCCGGGTTGAGGGGGCTGCGCGGGGCACCATTCTCCCTGGGAAGATGGCTGAGCCGGGCGCGGTGCGGACCTCGCCACCTAACCACCGGCCTCCAGGTAGGGCCCTCAGAGTGCAGCGGGCGCGTGGGAGCTTCGCGCTCCCTGGGGGGCGGGCCGGGCCGCACAGGGCAGCGGTCCTCGAGCACGAGGGCTGAGACGCGGCGCAGAGCTGGGATAAACGCCCTTTCCTTGGCTCGGGGTCGGCTGGGATCCAGGGGCCGCGCCCCTCGGTGCGCACACAGGTGGCGGGATGGGTGAGTGTCTCTGAGGATGGTTTAGGGTGGTGTGTGTTTGAGATGGAGGTGCCTGAGGGTGTTCTGTGATCCAGTCCCTGTCCTCGAGGGGCAGCCGGCGTGAGGACACTGGGCTGGACCGAGCGGGCTCCTGGGGGTGGCCCCGGCCTCCGCGCCTGTCTGCTCTGCGGCTTGGGAAATGCGCACGAGCGGCAGCTGCAGCTTCGTGCTTCTTGGCGTCCCCCAGGGGGCAAAACCGGCGTGTCACCCAGGGGCTGAGGCGGAAAGAGCATCTCTTGGACGACCAGGCTCGCGCCCCGGGCCTGGTGCTTCTGTCTCCGGGATGCTCTCCCGAGGTCTCGGGTATGCTGCCCAAGTGTCTGGCTCGGTTTCTGCCCCCTCACGAGGCCGCAAGGCTGCATGCAGCTGCTGGGAGCCAGGGAGGGCTGGCCCCTGTGCTGGCTGTCCAGAAACCAGCCAGGCGGGAGGAAAATTGTGAGGTCATCAGGCAGGATTTCAGATAAGCAGTTGTGCATCTTCTGGCGCTGACGTTCTGTAAAGTGGTTGCAGGTAGTGTGGAGGTGTAGGCAACGTGGAAAGCGATTTTGTGTAATTTTTCCTGGCAACATCTTTTTTGTTGCTGTTAACAATGCAAGCTATTTAAAAAATATTTTTGACTGCAGTCTAGCATGCATACGAAAAACGCACAACTCTTAAATATAGTGAAGATATGAGTATTTTATCTAAGGTGAACCAAGAAAAGGAAAGAAATCAAAATATTTAGTCATTTAAAACATGCTTTTCATGGCGGGGTTCTGCTTTGACCTTCAGTTGCATCATTCATAGAATAGGGGATGGCTTAAGTCATTTCCAGTTTGTGTTTTTCAGTATGCTTTTTTAAAGGGTATAATTTAATAAGTATCACAGAAGAGTGATACAACTACCTCTTACATGTATTCTTCTGTTTTCATACTTTTTGCTGAGGAAACTCAACCTCCCCTTTCTGCTGTTTTATTCTACAAGGTCCCCTGCCAGGGACAGGCAGAGGGGACCTTGTAGAATAAAACAGCAGAAAGGGGAGGTTAAGTTTGTATTTTTATTTGATTAGGAGTTTAAATAATAGGTTATTTAGATGTTTTGTACTAATGAGAGGCAGGGAGGGGCTGTATGGTTGGGCTTTCAATTTATCTGGGATTTTAATTTATTTGAAGGAAATTAAGAGGGGGGATTCTTATTAAGTTCTGTTTAGAAACTTTTCTTCCCTCCCTCCCTCCCTTCTGGCAGGGGCTCACTCTGTCACCCAGGCTGGAGTGCAGTGGTACCATTATAACACACTGCAACCTCAAACTCCTGGGCTCAAGTGATCCTTCTGCCTCAGCTTTCTGAGTAGTTGGAACTACAGGTGAGTGTCAGCATGCCTGGCTAATTTGTTTTTGTAGAAACAGGAGCTTGCCATGTTGCCCAGCCTGGTCTCACCTTCTGGCTTCAAACAATCCTCCTGCCTCAGCCTTCCAAAGTGCCAGGATTACAGGTGTGAGCTACCGTGCCAGGCAAGACACTTCATTGTTGAATCATTTAATACACTCTACTTACATTAAGATTAGCTTTGCCAGGTGTGGTGGCTCACGCCTGTAATCCCAGCACTTTGGGAGGCGGAGATGAGAGGATTGCCTGAGTTCAGGGGTTTGAGACCAGCCTGGACAAATTGGTGGGACCTTGTCTCTACAATAAATCAAAAAAGTTAGCCGGGCATGGTGGTGCACGCCGGTGGTTCTGGTTACTTGGAAGGCTGAGGCAGAAGGATCACCTGAGCCCAGCAGGTCGAGCCTAGCAGGTCGAGGCTGCGGTGGCCATGAGCGTGTTACTGCACTCCAACCTGGGCAACAGAGTGAGACTCCAACTCAAAAACAAAACAAAACAAAAGATTAGCTTAAAACTGTTTTCCTTCATTTGAAATTAGAAATATAGAAAGACAGTTTGTGTGAAGGTTTAAAGTATTAAACATCTGTGTGCATTAAGATTGGTGTGGTAAAATTGGAGTGTTCAATTTAGGTGCCAGATAGTACCACAGTTTGTCCTTTTGGAGGTTACTGAGGCCAGGTACTTAGAAAAATAATATCCTCAGAAATACTGGATACTGATCATTCTTAGTCACCCAAGGCCTTACCATTTGAGATCCATTCCTAATAAGAATTAACCTGCTTTTCTAGAGTGTCAGCCATTGTCCCTAAGCTTGCTGAGTGCTGTGAGGACTGAAAAAGACTGAAAGGCCTAAGATGTGTAGGCTCTCTGACAATCTCATGTCGACACAGTTGGGGGTTGTGAACTGGCGAGTGGTTTTTTTGGGAGCTGTTGTAAAGACTGCTAGGGAATACTGCTGGTGGTTTTCTCTAGCAACAGGTTCTTCTGATATTGAAATCCTGTGCATGTTTCCATTACCCACCAGTGATGCCTTCTTTCTTTCCTTTTAATTACCCCTAGGATGAAAATTGCTAAATCTACTGTTCTTTTAGTTACTGTGTTATATGAACAGTAAAACAGATAAGCAAGTGCCTGTAGTTTCTGTTTAAATACCTGTAGCCAGCATGTAGAATCACCAGATCTCAACTGTCACATCAAACTGCATCACTGACATGCAGGTCCTGTGTTCCCCTCAGCCTGAAATGTCCTCTTCTTTCCTTTTCCTTTCAGGAATTCACTTCTTTTAGGCTCTCTCAGTCCTCCTGTCTGTGCCTGCGGTACCTCCGGCCAAGCACTCTTATTTTGCTGGTGTTACATTAACCTTTGGGTTCCTCTAGGCACAGGTTCATTGGATGCCCACTCTATGCCTGGCTCTGTGCTGGTGGCTATTGCTGTAACTAAAGCTGAGTCGATCGAGGTCCAGACTGCCATGGTGTGAATGTCAGTCCTCCTCTTCCTACTGTGTCACTTTGGGGAAGTTTTTTGATGTCTCTGAGCTTTTGTTTTCTCATCTTTAAAATAGGCTTAAGAACAACACGGAGCTAGAGTACTGTCTTGAGGATGGAGGAATTAATATCTGTAAAGCAGTGCCTTACACAGCCAGTGCTCAAGCTGGGTAGCCATTATTAGCTTGAGGGCAAGGCCTGGGTCCAAGTTATAGGTGCCTCTCTTAGTGCTACCTGGTGCAGAGGGTGGCTGAATAATCACCCTACCACTCTTCAGAGCTTTTGTGCACAGTAGGTCTGTGACCCATGTTTTCCAATTGCACTATGCTGGGAGCAGCTGCAGTGGGTTGAGAGCTCAGTGAATACTAGTGAGTTAGATTAAAGAAATCTGCCTGTGAGAAGTTTAAGAGATTGGAACTGCAAAGCATGTTTCCTGAAGCCTGTTGAGTTTTCCAGTGTATTTTGCAGGTGAATACTGTTTTACTGAGTTGAACTTGTTTGCCTATTGTTCCCTAGAAGGAGGAATTACTTTGAGATAAGATGGCATTTCCTCATGTCCTTTCACCTGCATATCTTCATCCCTTACCCTGAGCAGGAGAATGTAGGGGTACAAACTGGCAGTTCAGGAGAACCTCCCCCAGGGGTTCAAAGTAGGTTGGGGCCAATAGCAAAGGCTGAAAGTTGGGTCCCCAAGAAATCAGAGTTCATCCTTTTTTAAAGTTGTATTTAAAATCATTCTTAAACACTTTAATCTAAAACTACTGGGCTCTAAGAAGAACAAGTTGAGTTTGTGTGTACATGCTGACTTATTAGAGTCCTTTTGGCAGTAGGAAGAACCACCCACTTTCTACAATGATGTATTTGGTTTGGGGCTCTGGCTTTGTTTACTGGTGGCAGTATAGAACTTGGACCTATCAGGACTTGCAGGGCAAACTGTTGAAGGTCTACATAACTATCAGTGGTTTCTCTTCTGATGTTCTGACCCTGGTGACTCAACAGCTCAAAGTTTGTCATCTCTAGCCCTTCTAACTCTCTAATATATGTTTTTTCTTTTGAGTTGGAGTCTCACTCTGTCACCCAGGCTGGAGTACATTGGCACGTTTGCAGCCACCCCAGCGTTGATCTCCTGGGCTTTAGGCGATCCTTCTGCCTCAGCCTTCCAAGTAGCTGGAGCCATAGGCTTGCACTATCACACCTGGCTACTGCTGCCGCTGCCGCTGCCGCTTCTGCTGCTGCTGCTGCTGCTGCTTCTGCTTCTTCTTCTTCTTCTTCTTCTTCTTATTATTATATTATTATCATTATTATTTACTGTAGAGATGAGGTCTCACCAAGTTGTCCAGGCTGGTCTCCAACCCCTGGACTCAGTCGATCCTCTCGCCTTAGCCTCCCAAAATGCCAGGGTTACAGGCTGAGCCACCGTGCCCAGCCACCTCTCCAATATTAAAGGATGTTTTCTTCTCTTTCAGGCACCCCATCTTCTGCACTGGTTAGTTTTTAAAGAGAACATCTTGTCTTCTGTAGTAATTATACCAATTGACTCACAAAGCAGAAGTATTCAAAGGGTTGATTTGGGCAGGTGAGAGATGGGGATTTCTGGAGAATGTAGGTAAATATCCAATATGCTTTGTTGGGAGCATTTAATGAGATACGTTGCCTGGTGATATGATGATATTACCTGGTTTGGGGGGCGGTTATCCATGTGCTGAGTTGGCGCTGGCAGCAGTTCCACGGTTTGAAAACTTCCTACAGGTCTGCCCTCCAGCCTTCCTGAAAGGAATTTTACCAGAAGAAGGAAGAGTGGTTGCCCTTAGGAAAGGATTGCTCACTGTCCACTCTGCGTCTAAGGTGGCCACCTTTGAGTGTGAGTCTGCTGTCTCAGCATCTGAGGCTCTAGGGTGGACTAAGCCTCTGGATTCCC